ATCATATATACAAACAAGTGATGCACAGTGTTAACTGCTCACCACCCAGTGACCAACGTCTGCCCCGTCCTGGCAAGTGATCTTGAAACAGATAAGTCCTGATACTGCAATCCTGGATGAGTGAGAGGCCCAAAAGAGAGCAAGAGAAAAAGATAGGACTCCGAGAGACAAAGAGTCCAAGAAGAGATCAAGACAGTCCCCCGAGAGAGAGAACAAACCTAACTTCCTGGTCAACTCTCATCTATATACCAGGCATGACGTTGCGTGATGTGGAGTTGGTCGATTTCGCCCTCAATCCAAGTCTAAGTTCAAATCACAAGGGAAGTTGTGGGCCCTTTGTCGCGGCCATGCTCCCTCCAGACTGTTGTGCTCCTGCACACTGGCAAGAACACAGGAAGCTGAAAGGTCTTGGATGCCTCAGCACCAACTACAAACATCAGTGTCCTATCAACATTCTTTTTGTAACAAATCCCATAGTAAATTCAAAACACAGAGCTATTCTATCTACTGAAAAGAAAAACTCTCTCTGTCCCAGTTGAAACCAAGACAGACAACCAAGAGCATCGTTCAGAAAGAATGCTTCCAAGAGCTCCAAGGTTCCCTAAATTTGATAAAAAATTTGTCTCCTGATTGGCACAGATCCATCCCTGATGAGATATTGTTCCTCCTCTACGATTATAGCTTAAAAGGGAGAGGAAAGAAAGAAGCAAAAAGCCCCAAAAGATGTTCATTGTTAACATGATTGCAGGGAACGAAAATACATGGTTCTATTTCTTCACCCAGTAAATTTCCATATTGCATGAATTCTCTTAGAATCTCAGCAGAAAGCTTTTGCTTTTTTTTCAGTTATCTTCACAGTAATGATGATAATCCCCTGTGGCATGAACAAGGCAAATGCAGATGCTGGCTGTTTCCTTATGATTTATACAGAGAGCTACCACTACAGTAGGATTACATCTGCTTCTCATTGAAAAAAATTGTCCTTCTCATTGCTAAAAACAATCTGCATTTTGTCTTTTGACTGCATCTAGAGTTGGTCAATTTAAAAATTTATCATCTTTAGGCAAAGACTTCCCTTCAGTCGACCCAGTGGGAAAACCAACTTTTTTTTTCCCTGTGAAGTTGCCTAGAAACTGCTATTTATGATCACAGAAACCCCACAACTGCAAGATTTATTATTATGCCAAACCTGAACAGAAGCTAGCTTAATAAATGAAACCTCTGAAAAAAAATGTTATAGATGAAAATTCAGTTTGTTAACATTGAGAAACATTTGATTTCTAATTTCTTGTAGTATAATACGAAACAAGCTTTTGAAAGAAAGTAATTTAAAAGCAAGAAGTTGAACTATTCTCTTCAGAAACAGAATTTACATGTTATCAAAGTGCTGGTCTCTTTTAAAATGAACTTTAGTCAAAGAAATGAGATATTTGTACCACAAGTTTGACTAAATCATATTTTTCAACAGAAAAGTGACAGTTTCTCATCAGTTCAGCTTTCATTGAAGTGCTGTGGTGTAAGGAACCTTTTCCTTTATGTCACCTAACCTCCATGGCCTCCAGGAGAAAAAATAATAATCCCAAATATTTTATCCAATGTAATAAGAAGTAACATTTCCTTGGCTTTGTGGACTTGAAGGAGGAGAGTGGTTACATTTCTCTGTGACTTTAATGGAAGATTGTTGCAATCAGCAAAAGTCCTCACCTTCAGATATAAAAGGGCAGGACTCACAGCAGAGTTTGGAAATAGTGATTTTTCAGTTTTTAAATTTTACCCGCTCTTCTAGTGACACAGCCTGAGTCTTCCTGGATGACTTCCTGGATGACTTCCTGGATAACCTTGCCAGCAGGTGGCAGCCCCGGAGGAAAGAACGGTTGCACCCATGGGACTGCAAGCGGGAGGTTAGGAACTAAACCAAGGCACACACAGCACATTTGCACCACTAAGCTAACTCTGGCTTAGAGCGGGTTACAAAAAAGGTATTTTTATCTGATTTCTTAAAGAAATGGGGCTGACATAGCGTCGCATGCACAAGTGCCTGTCCAGCCTCACCTGAGAAGCTTTGAATGGCACAGGCAAATTCGTACAAATCTGACAAGGATGTTAAGGTCTCAGAGATATTTAGTTCCTCTAGGTCTAATAAAAGCAGTGATCTGGAGGAGAGAAACGATTTCCCCACAGTGACACTGCTGAGCAAGCTCAGCTCTTTACTAGACACCAGAAAGTCTGCGCAGGACAGCACTTCTCCAATGTCCCATTAGACACCTGAAAATCCAGCAAGGAAACAAAGCATCTTAGGTAAACAGAAACCGACACCCTAGTTGCATTGCTGAGAGACCAAACACAGGAGAAAGAGGCATGGCTTGAGAAGCCAGAGTGACAACAACAGCGGTGGTGTATGTGATGGTGGGTGGGAGGTTACAAAGCGTGACAGTGAGATGCAAACTTTCAAAACAAACCTGGGTTTCGGTGCTGACAAACTCTTCATTGACAGCTGTCCAGATCCAAATAATTTCTATAGGTATATGTACAGGCAGAGCAGAAAGCCCCCACAGACAGGGTATGAAATATCATACAGGATATGAAATATCAGATAGAGATGAATAAACCCCTTTATCACGTGCAATTTTCACCACCGCCCTCTGAAGCAGAGGCTTTTTTCAGCTACAGTTAACCACTTTCCATTCACGTCTCATGTGGGTTTCAGGTGTCTCTGTTTGCTTGGCACAAACCCAGGACCCCTGACCGTCAGCCAGACCCCCTGCTCTCCTCCTCACGCCAGCAATGTTGGGGCTGCCCCCCTTGGAGGAAGAGAGCTCAGGAGACACTTTGATTGCCTCTTCTGTCCCTGCCTGCAAGAGAACAGCAGCTTCTTTAGCCCTAGGAGGTTTACAGACAGAGACCTTCTCCTAGTCTGGGGTACAGATACGATGCAAGAATCCCCCACATTATCACTTTCCCTCTGTTGCTCATCTTAGTGTCCTACTATAAGCCAAACACTTGTGCACAATTAGACTTCATTTTACATTCAGCTCTGATTGCTAATTACATGGTTTGCAAATTTATACTTCTCAAATAGATTCTGTTTTTAGCTTCATAAAATTTCCAAAGTATTGCCGAAACGTTAGCTTTTGTAAAGATGATGTTCAGAGATGCTTACCAGCCACGTGTTTTAAGGAGTGCTGGTTGCTTTGTCCTGGACTGTCCGCATAGTGCTCAAACAGTGAAAAAGCACTGGGCACCTTTTCTAAAGAGAGAGTAGTATCCATCGCAGAAAGTAACCTATTTGGAAGAAAACACAGAGCCATAAAAGTCCCTTGTGGCATCACAGATTTTCCAAAGGCCAGAAGAAAATACCATGCAATGTATGCTTCTCTAAATATTTCCCATGAATTTGAGGACAACATGCGAGAAGAAGCTGTTTCCCTGATTTTGAATGTTTAGAGCACACTGTGATTTCGGATCAGGAGTGCAGACAGAGGGCACACGGTCTGTATAGACTTGACTCGTGAGAACATGAGGATTTGAAGTTCACAGCAAGACTCCCAAGAGCACAGGAGTTCGGGCTTACTAGCGCAGTGCCTTTAAAGGTTACAAACCTTAGAGCTAAATTACAGCAGCTGACTCCAGAGACATAATGTAAAGCAGCTGCTTGTGGCAAGCAAAAAAAGCACAAGAAGGAAGATGGATTCCACTTAATTAGCCCATACTTGCTGAGTTCATTATAGGAAAAAAAAACAACATATTTTTAACTCTGAGGCAGAAACAGCTTCAAGGAAATGAAAGATTAGGTTTTTTTCGAGGCAACTGAATTTTACCTTTCTCCCCTTCTTTTTTTTCAGTCACCAAATTAGTTAATTATGCATAATTATCTTAACAAAGTACAACAAATATAAACCATACTTTCTTTAGAAAAACATGCACTCTTATATAGACTTGTTCCTAACTTTTTTAGCAATCAGGTATTATCAAAGTAACAACCAAACCCATGCACAAAACAGAATAAATTTAGTGTGTAAGTTAACAAACAAAGACCAAGTATACAGAAAGTCTTGGAAAATTGTTTCATCACATGATACCTGCCCTCTTCTTCTGCGATAAACTACATGCAGATATGTGGCTGAACTGTCACTTTTTGATTTAGAACAGGGGAGTCCAAACATATAGTCCTAATTCTGCAGATTAATGGGAACTATGAAGGAGTGTTTGGCACATTCTCTTCAGGTCATTCTCCTGTGGTTGTAATTTGACCACAAACTGGAACCCTCGTGTCATTGTAATACCCCAGTCCCTGAATATGTGTCAGCATGCATATTGCTGGGATGGCTGAGGCAGCGCTGACAAGGGTATGTTTGATACACACCACACAATGCCCGGGCCCTTTGGGCAAAGTCAGAGGTGGTAGTGCGGGCAAGGCAGGTTTGGGGGCTCACGTAGGAGAAGCCTGCAGCCAGCCTGTCTGAATATTTGTAGTTTACCTTGGAAAATTTACTGGGGGAATACGGGCTTGTAATTGAACACTTCTCTCATAAATTATGGGTCTCACCAAAACGATTCCCTTGAGGAAATCACTGTTTCCTCAGTGATTTGAAACTGTTTGCGATAGCAGGTATTTACCAGTATGTGCAGGTGGGCCAGGATGCAACTGTGATGAGGCAACAGCCCTCTGAAATATCCTGAATCAGGGGGTGCCAATGAAGAGACATGGAAAAACATCAGCCCATGGTCTCCTGCTAAGCTTTTGAAAGCTACTTAATCTCATTTTTTTCTGGAATTGTATTCAGAAAGATAGTCCAACAACCTCAGCCGTGTGAGCGAGGCTTTACATTATGACCTTTCAGAGACCACGTAATACAGAGCCAGACTACTGAGAAAAGAACGTACCAGTGAAGTCTAAGAGATGGAAGCATGGACAAAACGGGTTTTTTTAGTGTATGTATGTATGTATAACAATAAATACAAGGAACATCTGTTTAAAAATGTCTGTGTAGAGATTTAAAACTGAGCTAACATTTTAAAATGCTACTTGTTTAATTGATGTATTAGAGAACACATGCAAAACACTTCAAAATCAGTCAGTTACAGCAACAAGCGTAAAACCTTTTCTCTTAATTTCATTATTTGCAAGGTTTATAAAAGTAGCTACGAATATTAGCAGTGTGTTTTCAAAGCTTGCAAATATAAACGAAACATCCAGCATGATAGGTCCGGTATACACTACAGTACACGTAACCCATACTTCATATACCTTTTATTCAATTCTTTAGATGACTAAAGGAGGAAAAAAAGAAATGTATTAACAGTTTTCAAAACCTGAAAATTTTGAAAAGTCACTACTATTCACAGTCACTACTCTTCACAGTCATGAAATACACACGACTTTATTGACTTGATGTTGTCTGGGATGCTGCTCATTCACACCAGCAGAGAATTTGGTTTCTTAAGAATATTCCACTTCAAAGCTCTGTCTCAGCAGGCTTTTAGAGTCTAAATCTGGTTTTAAACTCCTGGGGGGTCAGTATTCAATATCCAGGTTTAAAGGCCAGAGCACAGTCAAACACTTTCTTCAACCAAGGCTTTTACAGAAAGAAATCACTTGCTCATTAAGAACACTTAAATCCAAATTCTGTCTGAAATCTCCTTCATAACTTCTGGTTACTAGAACCTGTGTGAGATTTGTACTCATGGAGAGAGTTTTTCCTATGCTCCATGAATCTTCAGCTAACACTTCCTGACTTGTGGTCAGAAAAGTCTCTGTCCCCTATCAGCAAGACAAAGGGGCAAGGAAGCTAGTAATTTTCCCACTCCACAACAGAATTTCAGATTACAAAGTTATCTTTTTGCCAAAGCACTGATTCAGCACCTCACAAAGTTCAGGAAAATAAGATATATTTCTCCTCTGTCCCAAAATAGCCCACCTCCCATGGCATTCACTTGGTTCCAGGATACTAAGAGGTTGCGTATCTTGGAGCAAGGGAGAAAGCCAAATACTGCTCCACCATTTCCATAACTGCTGGTATGTGGGCTGGGGGCTTGCATATAGAAATCTGTTTTATTTTGTACAAATGATCAGTCTTTAGACAGTAATTTGAACTTTTCACTTCTTACATCCCAGGGTAGTTTCTCTGCAACTTCCAGACTACCTGCTAGTTCCACAACGGTACAAGATTATTGTCCCAGAAATCCCATTCCCTTCAAGACCGCTGACACACTTCTGTAAAGGAGAAAGCATCTCAGCTCGCTTTCAGACAAGTCTTGCTGCGCAAGAACAATCTCGGAGGACCCAGGCCGTTAATGATTAACCTGCAAGACCCTCTGACACCAGCTTACGACTGACAGCTGTATGAGCCAGGTCACTCAACTCATGCAGATTCACAAGGGATGTTTTTTTACATCCAGAAAGGACCACTACAGACATGCACATTCCTAAACCTAGCCCATTGCTGTCGTTTATCCCCAGCTAGCAGCTAAGCACCACACAGCTGCTCACTGTTTTTCAGCAGTAAACATTTATCACAACCTCAGTAATCTGAGTGTGTAACTACTGTCTGTGCCTGCTCATTTAAAAAAATAAACAACAAAACCCCCATAACTCAGTAACAACTCTGCTTTAGGTTTTGATAATTTCAATTACACTTTCTTGTTTCATCTTTAGTTTTCATACAGTAAAGCATCTTTTACTATAACATTTTTTGCTCGTCGCTGGATAATTACTTCTAGATAAATTATCTATGTGTCTCTTAGCCTTCTCCTGACAAAACAAAACAGAACCATTTCAATGTCATAAGGCACACTATTATCCTATGCATCATCTTTCCAATTCTCTCTGAGCATTCATATGACAAAAGCAAATTATGTAGCTTGCAGGATCTAGCTATCTTAAAAAAACCCAGGAAAGTAAATAACTCATTGTCAGCCTGGGTACCTGTAAGTGCTTTCCTAACTAGTATTGTAAAAGCTACAGTATGAAAGCCATTTTTACTTACATTTAGGAAAACAAATCCATCGAGTTCTTCCAATTCTTTTACTGTTGTCTCCAAAGTTTCCTTTGCTGAATCAACAGTTTGCTGGAAGTTAACCATCTGCTCATACAGGTACTCCATTTTCATCTTCTTCACTTCCTCAAAGTTCTCTGATTTCTCATCATATTGTGCTACCACTTTCTTAAGCATCTCTTCATTTTGCTTTTCCAATAACTCTGCATTTTTCTTACAGTTTTCCTGCAAAATAAAACAGATATAAATTGATCTGCAGAATAAAATTACAACATTTAATGAATACACAGAAACTCTCAATTATCCATACATGGGCCATCCACCAGACTCCTTCTGGCATCCTGAGAACAAGAGAACTTTATTTCTGTAAGCAAGTTCATAACGCTAGAGAAATATATTAAAAACAATGGCAGATTTTATTTTTTTTTATTGTTAGTGTTTAAAGTTCTATATTTATGCATTATGACTGGAAGTCTGACTACAAAATAGCTAAAACTCCATACTTTCAACTGAAATTAATACAAGTCCTCAGGGCTTAAGAACTTGGGCATTAAAAAGGTAACACATTGGGCAACTTATTTAGATGTTTCACACAGCATTCCAAACAAAGACACAGTGTGAGCTTTTTATAAGCATAAACAAAACTAAGAGAACTTTTTCCTGCAGTGCTTGACAGTCACATATTCCACTCAGCAATAATGTGGGAAAAAAAAACCAATCTTTTTCTCCCCCTTAACACCTTCTAGAGGGAGATGTCAGTCTGAAGACTGGAGAAACAGCCCCTTTTCATGGGAGCAATGATGCTACAAAAAAGGACAAGCATATCTTAGAAGTGATTTTGTAGAGGGGAAAGAAAACTAGTGCAATAAAACACTGGACTTACCTCAACAGAGTTAAATAGCGATTCAATATCACTCACAAATGCTTCAATCTTCATTGACTTTTCTTCCAGTGCTATTAGCAATTCACCTAAGCGATCCTGAAATTTAAAATATTTCAGTAGCATAAGCATATTATTTTATAAAGTTTTTACATGCAACTTTTTTTAGGCATATATTTTTGCTTTGCCATGAGCCACTGTTGGAATAACTGCTAAATCAAGTTCAAGTATCTCCCTGGCTACAAGACAAGCACAGAAATAGCAACTGGAACAGTCACAAAACTGTTTCCAAACCAAAAAAAGTGAGCTCAGTTCAACAAGGTGCTGAGTGTCTATGGAAGTTGTGGAACACTACAAATTCCAGTGCAGTTTTGCTAGAGACTGAGGGTACTCAGAGGCTCGTGAGGGTCCTCAAGGGATCATAAGAACAAGCCCATAAAAAGGAAGATAATGCAGGTAATTATGAGGCTAATAGATCATGCCATGTCATTATTTTTTTTAATTAGAATTTTAAAGATAATTCCTATAAACTGGAATTCCTCAAAATCACTGGTTGACTTAGATATGGAAACAAGGGACAACAGGTATAAGGGATGACACAGAACTTTTTCTTAGTCTTTCTTGATCTTTCATGAAAGCAAGCTGGCCATCTGCTCAGGTGCCATTTATAATTTATAAAAATATTTAGGTTTAATTAGCTGGCATAAATCTAAAAGGTAGGTTAACTTCCCTTGGCAATAGCTTCCTATTGTGGCAAACTACTACAGCTAGATCTGTTGAAAACTAGCATATGACATTCCATTAATTATAAATGTCACATTGGACTGTACAATTGAAGGCTCACTTTGGAAATATTTAAGGCCAATCACCAAGATTCAGAGGCAAACTTCTATTCGTCAAGATAACCTATAAAATCTGGCAGGTGCCATTCATAGTTCATTTATTGTGAAGATACATTCCTAGAGTTAAAATTCAGGCAACGAGCATTTTGCTATCTTAACGGTTTCTTGGTAAGTATACAGAAGTAACAAGTAACATACAAACACTGTCTCAGAGTAACTTGAGCCCTGGATGCTAGCAATAATGTGAAGCCAAGCCTGTGTTGTGGCCAGATTTAACATTGGCTTCGTGTCCATGCTCCACAGCCAGAGAGTGATATCATGGGACGTTTATTTGCAGCTCAACTTGACCCGCTGCAATGCAGGTACATTGAAGGGATGGTTGGGGTCTGTGTGACGTTATTACTGACTTACTGGTGGCTAATTATCACTTCTTAGTCAAGCATGAATGGGCACTTATAAAAAAGCAACTTTGCTGTCATACATCTGCACACCATGGAGATAGTTTGTAAATACTGATATTTGAAACTGCCACATTGACTCCTCCTACTTTTAATTTCTCTTTCTTGCATATGAGTTGACATAAAGATAATGTAAATACCATTGATACAAGCCTCTCTGGACTTTTAATGAAACTGCACAAAATCTGTATTACTGTCAACTGAACACGTCCCAGGAAAGAGACCTTGCCTTTCAGATACCGGGGTGAGATTAAATATCTGGTAACCAAGAAAGGAACATCTGTATACTTGTACATGGACAAATGTGATATGGGAAAAGTGAGACATCACATGCATGCTGTTTTCATAAGCAGATCTGCAATTTAGTGAAGAATAGCTTCCATAGAAATGGAAATATTTTCACTAGTATGATAGCAAAGGACTAGGCTACTGAAATGGAGGGCATTTTAAAGTGTTTTAAAGTGGTACAGTTTAGAGATAGTGGAAAGAAGTAAGACTTGCTAAACTCTTACCTGTGCTACAGCTAAAACACTATCGGCACAGATGAACACGAACTGAACAGAAAATGGGGATGGAGTTTCCACAAACCTGTGTAATGTAAACCGTGTAACTTGCTTAATATCTCCAAGCTACCAACACATGTAACTGGGACAGGGAACACTTTATGATGATACCAGTCTCCCTCACATATGAAGGTTTCTGTACCTTGTCAAGTGAAATGAGCTGCTGTTACTAAAATTTTCTTTTCACAGAAACAGCACTCTTCCCATTTCTCACCCTACACATACAAACCAGAACAAACTTATGCAGGTGAGGAGGCTAAAAGATGGAAAGTCTGGGAACAGCTGCATATAAACAAGATCATTCAAACTTACGAACAAATAAAAACAGCAGCTTAGCAAGCCTACCACTGTAGAGAATACCTTAATAAGATACACTCCCTTCAAGATCTCTAACAGGTGTTTAGGAATAGTTTTTATTTTATAGATATTGTGATTTAGCCTCTGGGCTGCTCGCTGGAACCTCTCTCCTGACAACACAGGAGACCCAGAGAAATTAGTTTCAGTAGCTCCTTCCCTCACTCAAATTAATCCTTACCTTCATCTTGGTTGCAGCATCACCTAGTGCTGTGACTTCATGGTCTTTATGGTCTCCAAAAAGCTTGTCAATAGCAGATATGGGGCATTTGCAGTGGTAACAATATGTGTCTGCTTGCGCTTTCTTCAGTTCTCTCTGTGGGCTCTCAACTTGAGGACTGTTTGTTGCTGATTTTTCAGGATACATCACCACAAAGCCTGAATCTTCAAGCTCAACAGGTGTTCTTTGGTCTGGCTCATTAACAAATTCATAACTATCACCAACATGCTCAAAAGAGTCCCTGTCTTCAAATAATAGCTCCTCATGTGTGAATTGAGATGATATTTCATCTTGCAAAAGTTCTTCTTGTGTAATCACATCATAGTCCATTGACTCAGCGAGATCTTCATAAACATCAGGGTGCCGTTCCTCTCTTTGAACGTCTGGCTTCTCCGTTTGCTGAATGGTAGGGACATAAGAAAGATTCTCCTGATCATCTTCACTGTCTTCAACAGGAGTTCGGACATATGGGACGTATTTTTCGATTTCAGGAACTGCTATTATTTCATGCTGTTCTTCCTGCTTATTACTAGCTTCTTGATACGCAGCTCCCTGATAATCCGCTGGTTGACTAGATACTTGATGACTTGATTGCTCCGGCAACTCCTCAGTTGTTTCTACAGGTACATTTTCTTCTTCTCTTTGTTCAGTGGTATCACTTCTTGCACCTGAAAGAATTACTTGGCTTCCAAAAGGAATGGCATGCATTGGTTTACAAATTGTTGCTTGAATGTCACTGTCAAACTGGGCTTTCTCCACAGCACCCCTTTCTGGCAGAACCTCAGTTCTGACACGTTGAACAACTCCAGACCCCTGCTTGTGTTTGTCCTCCGAACTCTGAAATGAAATTCCTCCACTAAAGGACTCATCCTCTGGTATCTGATCCTTTTGATGCCCTATGGCCTTACTTGGAATTTCATCTTTAAGAATGTATTTTTCAAAATATATTCCCATTCCATCATCCGTGTCTGAATTTCTACTAGTGAAAGACGCATTAGAATTACCACTTTCCTCATCAGAAGGAGTCTCGTCCTTTGTCTTTTCTCCTAGTGCTTCTGCATAGAGGTCCTTGTATAAAAATGACAGAGCAGGTGGTTCCTCTAGAAGTTCTGGATTAACTGCAGCAACGGTGGTAGGGAACAACAGAGATCGTTCTAGCACTCCTTCTTCTGAATCAAAGAGTGGGCTCCCTGGTGACTTCTGATCATCTTCTACATTTGTAATCTTTTTACTGCTAATATCAATTGATTTCTGCAGAGGTAAAGGTTTTGGGGCATCTGCATGGGACTGTGTTTTGCTTTCTCCTTTCACAGTACCATAAAAGACTTCATCCAGATCCTCAAGTAAGGAAAACTCCTCTTCCAAAGTACCTACCTCAGCACTTTCTTTAAAAGATGTGGCTTCTTCCGCAGGTTCATTGGGTTCTTCTGTCACAGGAAACAATGAACTAGGCCTTTCAAAATGTGGCTTAATTGGGGATTTGTCATCAATCAACGTATATTTTTCAAAATAATCCATATCGGCCGTACCATTATCAGGATCCAACTCTGTATTATTATTGTTTTCTGGCAACATGGAATTTTCTTCTTGTGCTTCTTCAGATTCTTCAACATCATCATTTTTGGCCAGTTCTTTCAGTTCATGGCTTGCAGGCTTTCCCAACACTGAGCTTTCTGAAATTTCTGTGGTTGTTCCAGAAGCTAAAGCTCTATGGCCATCTTCAGCTAATTTTCTTTTAAATGAAGGATTTGTTTCCAAGTATTCTAGTTTATCTGGCATGTGTTTACTTTCTTCTTGATCTACAGAAGAAATATGTGTAGGAGCATGAATATTGAGTATTTCATAACCTTCTGAAATTATATTAAATAGATCTTTTTGTTCAGTAGGCTCTGGAGCATGCCGACTTTCTTCTACAGTGCTCACACGTTCCATTTCTTCCTCTTGTCCTCTCAGGTACTGTTCAGGCACTTCAGGCACTTTGTCTACCTCTGGATGTTGCTTTGCTTCCAGTTTTTTAGGGTTTCCACTACCAGTTTCATGATCTGGAACTTTGTCTGGATTATCTCGTCCCAGAGGTAGTAAATCATACCTTTGCACTCTGTGACTAGTTTCTAAGGACACTCTGTGGGAAATTTCACTTGACACTGAATCAGCAACTCTCAACATATCTCTTTTATTCTTTGTAGTATCATGAACTGTAAGTTCTGTGCAACTTCCAGATGGGATTTTTTCAAATCCAAAATCAGAAGCTTCATTTGAAGAAAGTTCAATTCCTTGCCTGTTTACTTCTGTAGCTCTTGGACTAATTGACCGAGATTTCACCTCTTCTGCCAGCCAGCTAGATAGCCCAAAAGATGGAATATCTGGATTCTGCTTTTCATCAGAACTAGAGCTAACAGACTTCATCTCTGCTGAAGAAAGGCTGCCCTGTTCACTAGAGTAATGCTGAGTTTTGTGTGTCACAGTTTCGTAAACAAGACCTGGTGAAACAGCTCCCAGATGCTCTAAGGATGTGTGCTTTTGGTCTGCAAAATACGGTTGTATTTCATGTCTATCCTTTCCTTCAGGATAAATGCCTGAAACTATGCTAGGTTGCTTTCCAAGCATGCCTACTACATCAGAAAAAGATGATGGAATATTTTGTTTCTCTTCATCATCAGTGAAAAGCACTGATACTGACTTTTCAGGTAAAGTCTGAAAAGGTACAAACGCATCTGAGGACGCTCCTTGCCGGTCTGCTACAGCAGTCACCTTTGACTCTGTGGTCACTGACCTTGGCACTGTCTGCACATCAGGTTGTATTTCTTGCTTATCCTGCTCAATAGGGAATTTGAGGGGACTTAGCTGCTCTGATGACAAATATTTTGTGTCCGACAAACGCTCTTGAGATTCTTGCTCATCTTGGTCTTGTGTGTGTGTTGGAGACATACTCTCCAACTGGACTGTCTTCAAGCTTGCTGATTTAGGTGAATAGAGCCGAATTTTTTGCAATTCTTTTTCATCATGTGGTGGGATTACATGTTTACACTCTGATTGTGCAGATGGGGGAATAAGTGGCTGTATGCTTTGCTTTTCTTGTTCAGCAAGGGAGGACCATGTGGGAACCAAATACTCAGAGGCTGGTTTTGAGTAAGGTGGAACTTCTTGCTGACATGTTTCACCAGCTGAATAAAATGGAACTGAAGGTTCAGACTCCAGTTTCGAAGGCACAGTTGAATAATCTTGACTTTCTAGAGTTTCTGCTTTATCTGTAGAAAATGATAAATTTAATTGCTCAGATTCTAATTGCATAGCTGTGTGGAAGTAACGTGGACTCTGTTCTCTCTCTGTTTCAGGTAAAACTACATGTTCAGCCTCTGACTGTGCACTCACCAGCAAAGGTAGATGAGTTTTTGTAGACTCTGCTTCTTTTCTTGCAAAGAAGAAACCTGTCTCCGGCTGGGCAGTTTCTGACAGCTCTGTTTTACAATGGCTGTAAGACGAATCTAAGTGCTTGGGCGACACACCTCCAGTTACAGGTGAAGGCTTTGGACTTCCTTCTGGTTTTGTTTCAAAGACAGAATGGGAAACACTCGAAGGTACAGACACTGTTAGTTCAGTAAGAGATGAATACGGCTGAATTTTCTGGCTCTCTGCTTCCTCGATGGAAACGGATAAATCTTGTTGCTCAGTTTCCAGCTGAGCAGTTAGAGATGAAGTAGCCCCAGGGTCTTGCTTCTCTGAAAGTCCTGCTCTCAGCGAGGTCATTTCATGCTTTTCTGCTTTGTCAGTAGGACTTAATAAATCTGATTGTTCAAAATCAGGTTGTGCAGTTCCCTGCTCCTCGGTCCTGCCAAACGTGTATGATACAGAAGGTGTTTCTGGTTGCTCTGTTTCAACAACAGAGTACTGCAAATTAATGCACTCCAGTTCAGGTTGGGTCCCATCTCTCCACTCTATTTCACCCGGGAAATATGATGTCTCTGGATGCTCCAGCTGGGCAGTCTGTGGTTGCTCTGCTTTGCCATAAGAGTACAATAAACCTGGTGATTTCATTCCATGAGTCTCTGCTTCACCAGGAGAATATGACAAATCTGGACGTTTCGATTTTGGTTGTTCTGGTTGCAACTGCTCTGCTCTTCCTGTGGAATATGAAAAATCAGAAGGCATGAACCCAGCTTGTGTAGTTTCCTCTTCTTCTGTTTTGCCAAGTGAATGTGATAAACCTGGTTGTACTAAGTCTAACTGTGAAGCTTGTTTCTGCTTTTCTTCACCAAGGGAGTGCAAAAAGCCAGGCTGAGCCATTCCCTTCTCCTCTCGTTTGCTGAAGGACTCCGAAAGCTCTTGCTGTTGCAGTACTTCTTGGACAGGTTGTGAGTGCTCTGATTTGCCAGCTGGGTAAGATAAATCCATTTCTTTCTCCTCTGGTTGTTCAATTTCATGGTGTCCTTGTTGACCAATAGAATATGACAAATCTGGATAGTTTGATTTCTCATGGGTAGCTTCCTCTTCTATTTCTCTAACAGGATAAGATAGCTGTGGATGTCGCAACTCTGGCAACACCATTTCTTGTTCTATTTTGCCAGGAGAATACAATGAACCTGAATGTTCCAGTTCACCTTGCACAGTTTGCATTTCCTCTGCTTTACCAAGGGCATATGTTAAATCTTGTTGCCCTAAGTCCATTTCTGTTGCTTCTTGTGACAGTGTTCTGCAAGTGAAATATGATGAACTGAGAAGCTCCTGCTCTGGATGCGCCATTCCTTGTTGCTCTGTTTTTCCAATGGGATGGGGTGTTACAAGCTGCTCTGATTTCTGTTGTGTTGCCGATGGCTGCTCTACTTTGTCACTGGAGTACAACAAACCTGGATGCTCAACCTCTGGTTGTGCTGTTCGTTGCTGTTCTCTTTTGCCAGTGAAATGCGGCAAGTCCTGATGCTCTGCTTCCACTTGAACAGTTTGTGGTTGCTCTGCCTTCCCAGGGAAAGATGGTAAATCTGGTTGTTCTAACCCGAGCTGTGTGGCTTCTTGTTGCTGTGTTTTATCTGTAGAATATGATAAATTTGAATGCTCCAACTCTTGTTTTGCCATTTCTTGTTGCTCATTTTTGCCAGAGGAATGCAAGAAGTCTGGGAATTCCCCTTTCAGTGGGGCCCTATTTGGTTGCTCTGTTGTGCCATGAGAACTTGAAAACATTGGATGTTCCAATTTCAGCCGTACTGTTTCCTCTGGGTGAAATGTATAGCTTCCCCTCCTCTGTTTGACCTCCAGTTGTTCACTTTGTTTTTCTTCACTAACAGAAGAGGACAAATCAGGGCCTCGTACTTTGCCCATGGCCTCCGAGACATCTGGATGTTCAGACTTCAGTGAGACAGCCCAGGATGGCTTTGTTTTGATAAAAGAATGCAACAAATCGTGTTCTTTCAACTCTGGCTGTGTTGCTTTCTGAGGTTCTGCTGTGTCAACAGAGAATGACAGATCTGCATATTCTGATTTTGCTTTGGAATCTTGGGAATTTTGCAGTCCTTCTGCTTTCCCCATAGAGCACTGCAGGTCAGGGAGTTCCCCTTGCAATCCTGCTCCTCCCCCTTGCTCTTCTTTGCTGAGAGATGATGAAAAATCACTTGGCTGTTCCTGCTCTGTTTGAATCTTTTCTTGTTGCTGTACTGTGCCAGCGGAATGCAATAAATCCGGATACTCCAAATCCACTTCAGCAATTTGAGGTTGCAGTGTTTCACCAACTGAACATGATAAATCCATTCTTTCTGCCTCTGGTTGTATGATTTCACAGTGTTCTAATCTGCTAGCAGATAAATCTGAATGGTTAAATTTTGCAAGTGCAGTTTCTTGTTCAGCTTCACTAACAGAATAAGATAACTGTGAATGTCCCAATTCTGGCTGCGCTTTCTCACCTTGTGCAGCATTTTTGAAAGAATCCAAGAAGCCTGACTGCTCCTCTTGAGCAGTTTGTGCTCGCTCTGTTTTGCCAGGCCAAAACGATAGATCTGGTTTTCCTAACACCAGTTGTGTAGTTTCTTCTGTTTGTCTTTTATCAATGGAATAAGACAAATCAGGATGCTCTGGCTCTGGTTTTGCCATTTCTCTTTGCTCCACTTTTCTGCTATGAGATGATGCATCTGGAGCTCCTAGTTTCTTTTTTGCAGCCTGTGAGTGCTCTGCTCTGCTGACAGACTGTCCCTCATCAGGATGTCCCAAGGCTGTGTGCTCCATCCCTTGCTGCCTCACTTTTTCGGTGGGGGATGCCAGGTCTGTGTGGCCCAGCTCCAGCTGGGCAGGTGGGAGTTGCTCTGTTTTGTCATGATCACCCAATGCGTCTGGCTGTGCCATCCTCAGCTGGGTGGTTTCCTGCACTTTGTCAAGAGAATGTGCTAGACCAGGGTGTTCAGGTTTCAGCTGAGCAGTTTGCAGTCCTCCTGCTTTGAAAACAGAATGAGGCAAGTCAGGATGTCTCTGCCCTGGTTCTGCCATTTCTTCCTCTGCTGTACCCACAGAATGGGCCAAAGGTGGAATTTCCACTTCTGGCTGAACCATTTTCTGTTCTGCTTTTCCAAAGGGGTAAGTTTGCTCTCCTTCTTGTTGTACTTTTTGTTGCGCCTCTTCATTGTCCAGAGGATACATCACATCAGTGTGCTCTGCCTCTGGTGGGGCCATTTCATCTTCTGGCTGGTCAATGGAAAACGATAAATCTGGTTGACCCGAGTCCTCTTGGGCGTGTTTCAATTGCTCTGTTTTACCAGGAGTGTGTGGTAACTTTTCTTGCTTTAACTGCTGTTTTGTGGTTTGCTGCTGCTTTTCTCTGCCAAGAGAAATTTTTCTGTGTTTCTGATCCAACAGTACTACTTCTTGTTGGATTGTCTCATCACTGGAATGTGACACATAAGGATGCTTCATTTCCCATGTTGCAATTTCCGGCTCATTTTCTTTGCCAGGGGAATATGTCAAATCTGGATGTTTTGACTCTATTTGTGCAGTTGCTGGAAAAGCTCTTTTTCTGGCCGCTTTAGGTAATTCATGATGTTCAGACTCAAACTCTTGAATTGCTTGTTCTTTGGCTTTACCGAAGGAAAATGATAAATCTGGATATTTTGAATCCAAATGTGAAGTTTCTTGCTGGTTTCTTTGGCCATCAGAACATAACAAACTTGAGTATTTAGATTCCACTTCCATACTTTCATCTTGCGCTGCTTCACCCAGGGTTCCTGGTGAATCCAAAAGTTCTGATTGTTGTTGTGTTTCTCCCACAGAGTATGAGTGCTGTGGATGTCCCGACTCCCGCTCTGTGATGTTGCCTGGTTTTGCTTCAACCAGGGTTCCTGGTGAATCCAAAAGTTCTGATTGTTGTTGTGTTTCTCCCACAGAGTATGAGTGCTGTGGATGTCCCGACTCCCGCTCTGTGATGTTGCCTGGTTTTGCTTCACCCAGGGTTCCTGGTGAATCCAAAAGTTCTGATTGTTGTTGTGTTTCTCCCACAGAGTATGAGTGCTGTGGATGTCCCGACTCCCGCTCTGTGATGTTGCCTGGTTTTGCTTCACCCAGGGTTCCTGGTGAATCCAAATGTTCTGATTGTTGTTGTGTTTCTCCCACAGAGTATGAGTGCTGTGGATGTCCCGACTCCCGCTCTGTGATGTTGCCTGGTTTTGCTTCACCACTGTCATGTGAAAAATCTGGATGTTCCATCACCAGTGGTGCAGTTTCTTGCTGCTTCAAACGAAATGGTAAGGTTGGATGTTCCAACTTTTTTTGTTGTTCAGCTTCATGAAAGAAATATGACAATTCTGGATATTCTGAACTCATTTCCTTTTCCAGTGGAGGTTCTTTTCCACTGGAAGATGGCAAAAATGTTTGCTCCAGCTTTGGATGTACTGTTTCTTGTTGCTTTGTTTTGCCAGCAACACATGAAAGAAATGGTTGCTCTGATTTGTGTTGTGCCATTTCCTCCCGCATTTTTGTACTTACATAAAATGCCTGCTCTGGATATGCTGGCTCTGTTTGCATTTCTTCTTGCATTTGTTCACTGAAAGAGTACGGCATAGATGGATGTACAAACTCTGGCTGAGCTATTTCTTGCTGTGACAAATTAATTTGGTCTGTGACCTGTGGCTCTTCTTTCCCCCAGATTTCTGACAAATCTGAATACTCCATTTCCATTTGCGTAACTTTTTGTTGGGCTGCTTCCTGTTTCAGCTCTCTTTGTACTGTATCTTGTTGTTCCATTCTGCTAAAGGAATATGATGTATCTGGATGGGTCACATCCAGAGGTGTTGATTCCTGTTGCTGACTACCAGTAGTGGAAGAGGAGGGAAGTGACTGCTCCGGCTCTGTTTGTGCCATTTCCCAGAGCTTTGCTCTGTCAATCAAATGTGAGGAGCTCAAAGATCCTGACTCCACTCCTTCTTGCATTATTTCTCCAGTGGTAAATGAGAAATCCCTGTTTTCTGAAGCTCGTTGTACATTTTCATGTTGCTTTGCTTCACTAATGAAATATGATGGCCCTGTACCATCTAAGTGTCTTTGTACAGCTTCTTGTGCTGTTTCTCCCTGGGAATATGGTGAATCTGCTTGTTCCAACTTTGGTTGAAGTATTTCATGTTGTTCTGTTTTGCCAGTAGAATGCAATGTCTCCGGCTGTTCTGCCCTCAGCTGTGAGGTTTTATGTTGCTGTTCTTTTCCAGTAGAATATGACAAAACTGGATGCTCTGACTGCAGTTGAGTAGTTACTCCTGGCACTGCCTTGGCAGGGGAATACAGCTTATCTCCAGGTTGTGAGTCCTGCTGTACAGGCTGCGGTTGTTCTCCTTTGTCACCCAAATATGACGTAAGAGAATTGTCCAAATCTGCTTGTACTAATTCTTGCTGCTTTGTTTCATTTGTGCGATATGGTAAATCTGAACGTGCTGTTTCCAGATACCCAGTTTGCTGTGTCTCAGCTCTTCTAGTGGAATCAAATATATCTGGGTGTACCAACTGGAGTTCTGTAGTGTTTTTCTCTGCTTCTTCCATCAAACACGATAAATCTGAAGGTACCAGTCCAAGCTGTGCTGTTTCTTCTCGCTCTGCATCTTCAGGGTGTTCCAGTTCAGAATGAATAGATTTTTGTTCTTCTGTTTCTTCCCTGGTAAATAAAATCTCCTGATGTTCCATTTCCAGCTGTGCACTTTCTGATTCCTCCACTTCTTCCCTGGATATAGAAAACTCTGGAGGCACCATCTCCAGTTGTGCACTCTCTGATTCTCCCATTTCTTCTCTGGAATATGAGAAATCTGAGTGCTCTATCTCCAGTTGCACATTTTCTGATTCTCCAGTTTTTTTGCTGGAATATGAGAAATCTGTATGTTTTGTCTCCAGCTGTGCACTTTCTGATTCCTCCATTTCTTGCCTGGAAAAAGAAAAGTCTGGATGTACCATCTCCAGCTGTGCACTCTCTGATTCTTCTGTGTCTTCCTTGGAAAAAAAATCTGGATGCTCTTTCACCAGTTTTGCCCTCTCTGATTTCTCTCTTTCTTCCATGGAATGTGAGAAATCTGGATGCTCTGTCTCCAGCTGTGCACTTTCTGATTTCTCCACTTCTTCCTTGAATATAGAAAACTCTGGATGCACCATCTCCAACTGTGCACTCTCTGATTGTATCATTTCTTCTCTGGAATATGAGAAATCTGGGTGTTCCATCTTCAGTTGTACATTTTCTGATTCTCCAATTTCTTTGCTAGAATATGAGAAATCTGGGTGTTCCATCTTCAGTTGCACATTTTCTGATTCTCCAATTTCTTTTCTGGAATATGAGAAATCTGTATGTTTTGTCTCCAGCTGTGCACTTTCTGATTCCTCCATTTCTTGCCTGGAAAAAGAAAAATCTGGATGCACCATCTCCAGCTGTGCACTCTCCAATTCTTCTGTTTCTTCCTTGGAAAAAAAATCTGGATGCTCTTTCACCAGTTTTGCCCTCTCAGATTTCTCTGTTTCTTCCATGGAATATGAGAAATCGGGATGCTCTGTCTCCACCTGTGTACTTTCTGATTCCTCCACTTCTTGCCTGGAAAAAGAAAAGTCTGGATGCTCCATCTCCATCTGTGCACCCTCTGATTCTTCTGTTTCTTCCTTGGAAAAAAATTCTGGATGCTCTGTCTCCAGTTTTGCACTCTCCAATTCCTCTGTTTCTTTCATGGAATGTGAGAAATCTGGCTGCTCTGTCTCCAGTTGGGCACTCTCCAATTCCTCTGTTTCTTTTGTGGAAAAAAGCAATTCTGGATATTCTGTCTCCAGTTTTGCGCTCTCTGATTCCTCTGTTTCTTCCCTGGAATATGAGAAATCTGGATGTTCTATCTCCAGTTGTGCACCCTCTGGTTCCTCCATTTTGTCCCTGGAAAAAGAAAAGTCTGGATGCTCCATCTCCATTTCCACACTCTCTGATTCCTCTGTTTCTTTCCTGGAAAAAGAGACGTCTGGATGCTCTGTCTTCATCTGTGTTCTCTCTGATTCTCCAGTGTCTTTGCTGCAATATGAGAAATCTGAATGCTCTATCTCCATTTGCACACTTTCTGCTTCTTTGGTTTCTTCAATGGAAAAACCAGGGTGATCCAAATCTATTGCTTTGTTTATAGCTGAAGTTTTCTGAGTTTCTTCTGTTTCTGTGTGAATAGGATATGAAATGCCGAAATATTTAGAATCTATCTTTTCAGGAATAGGTGAATGAAGTTTAATTTGCTGCTCCTCTGTTTCCCGAAGGGAGAAGGAAAAGTCTTGTTTGAACTTTGTTTGCTCCTCTAAAGGAACATTTAGGCTTCCTGGTGGTGGGGTCTTTTGACCCTCTCTTTTTTCAGCAGAATACAATAGACCTGAAGGCTCAGTTTCTGAAAGTGCTGTTGATGAGTGACACTCAGTTTCTTGCTTCTCTGTTTCATCTAGAGAATGTGGTAAAAGCATGTGTTCAGACTCACACTGTGTGGTTTCTGATGACTGAGAAGCAATATCCTCCTGTCTTGTTTCAGATGGAGTGGAATATATGGATTTAGATGGTGGAGCACTAGGTAAGTAAGACTGAACTGCTGACTTCTGCACTTCCTTCTCAGCATGTTCTGACACAGATGCTGCAGGCAAAATAGGTTGGGTATTTTGTCTATCTAATTCATTAACAAAATCTGCTGAAACAGACTGTTGTGCAAAATCAGGATGAATTTCCTGCACCTTTGGTTCATCTAGATGATCTGATGATGTCAGCAGGGATTGATCTGGTTTCTTGTTGGCATTTTCAGCTGAGAGAAGCGGCACTTGTTTCTCTGATTTATCATCAGATTCTAATGAATTAGAAGTTGTTTGCTCTGTTATTGATGTCTTGGCTGCAGGTGAATAACTTTCCTGCTTCCTAACTTCTTCAGGAGGGCAGGACTTCAGTGAATGTCTCGATACCTTATTTGGAGCCTCAGAAAGAGACAGTCTTTCTTTTCTTTCTTCGTGTTGAAGAGTTGTTTCTGTACCAAAGCTTGAAAATCTGCTTATTTGATCTTTCATTTTAATGAGTTTAGTATTTTTGGATGAAACATCATCTTTATTAGTAAGCTGTTTTTCAAGAGGTGTTGTTGACGAAGAATAGCTTTGATTTGTATGTGCTGTGCGTTGTCGTTGCTGCCTTCTTCTCTCCGATGGTGTTTCAAGAGTTACACTTCTTGCTCTCTGGAAAGGTTTTGGACGAGTTGCTTCTGAAAATGAACTGAACTGCTGCAATCTTTCTTTTACTGACATTTCAAGGAACTGTTCAGCATCTGAAACAGAGCTACTTCTCTGCGTTCTGGTTTTCTCCAATGTTTCAGGGGCTGGCCCGGTCCCTCCAAAAATTGAGTTGAACAGCTGGATTCTAGCTTGTACTGGTCCTCCAAGGATCGGTCCTACTTTTCTCAGTCTGCTCTCTCTAAATATTGATCTTATGGGAGCACGTTTTACTGGCATTTCTGCGATGTTCTCTAGATCTTCTTCGTCATCCAGCATTTCCTCGTCTGTGTCTTGTGCTTCCACCTGTTCAACGTTCAACATGGAGGCCTGCACATCTCCTAGAACAGTTCTTGATTCTTGCCTCTGCATTCCAGAAGAGTCACGTTTTTTATTGCCCTGGCCTCCCTTCAGGCTTGCAGCCATCGGCAGCCTATTCGAAGATTTGCGCTTCCTTTTCCGCACAATCTTACCTTCATCCAAAATAAAGATCACTTTTCCTGGAGGAGAACCTACCGGTGAACTTTCCATACTGTAACGATCAGAAGTTGTGCTAGTTTCTGAGGCCCAGGGAGTAGAACACCTGCTTGAGCTGGTTTCCCAGGTTATCCCACTGTCTTCACTTTGAACTGTTACCATAGAAAAGGAAGGGTTAGTCATGATGTACTGTAGCTTGGGTTTCACATCTCCACTTTGGATAACATCTTTTAAACTAAAAACAAGAAGAACAAAAGAAAAAAAAATGCTGTAAATACACATAACAAATTAAATCATTGCAGTAGAATCTAAAGTTTTTGCATTAAAGCAAAATTACTTTTCAAAGTTCTAAAAATACTGCATGTGCATAGGTTTTGAAACACAAGCATGAGCAAAGTCATATTTCATCTGACAAATGTATTTTAGATAACATTTTTTGTAAAGCTGCATGTTGAAAGGCTAGTTCAATGAAGGAGAGTTGTTTAAATGCTCTTGACAATGCAGGAAAAACAGTCTTTGATCTGAACTTGTTTTGCCAGTGCGAGACTGAGCTGATTCTGGGACTATTCTTCAATGTGTGGTTATCTCACCGTATAGTTTAAACCTTGCATTAAACACTTAAAAGATACTATCGGGGTCTTAAGAGCACCCACACTTGCCTTGCCTAAGTGTAAATGATTATACAGTGCTCAAATGAGTAGAGAATCTATTCACTAGTTTGTTACTGTCTTCTCATATGTTTCATCCTTGCAGCACTCTACATATTTAACAAAGTAATTTAGAATACACTCAACAATAATAATATACTAAGCCCTCCTCAGATGTAATAAAAATGTTTTATAAAGCTAACTTTAAACCATATGACATGCAATCAGTACACGATCATACACTGCAATCAAATCTCTCTCAGTTAAAAAAAAAGGCCAAAGAAATGTTTTCTGGGAAGCTTTAGGAAAAAAAAAAACCACATACGAGCGTAAATAATAGTAAAACAATTAAAAGACTTTTTTTTTTTTTTTTAAAGAAAGGGTCTCAATTGTGATTCCAAAAAAAGCATAGAAAAGGTAATCAAAACACTTAACCCCAGTATTTCTTGAGTAGACAATAGCTCATTTAGGGAAATCATATTAGTAGCCGATGGAAAGGAAGGCGGAGTATTTGCTGGCAAAGGCAGAGGCTTCAGCAGAGCAGATGATCTATCTGGTGAAGTCCCTGTCACTCCCCTGGAAGGATGCACACCTACGGCCACACAATGCCCTACTTCCACTGAACAGAGGGAAGGGTCACTTTCCAGGTGATTAGGGTACAGCACTTCTTCAGTAAGTGTGAAGAAATCTGCCTCCTGACCATGGGATCAGAGAAGTAGAATCTGACTGTCCAACTGCCGCAGGCTGTGACCTAGCACCATGCAGATGCCAGAGAGGTCTGCAGGCTGCAGAGACACTGCAGGCTGCAGGACACCCCCGAAGAGCCTCTGGCATTGCTCCAGAGGGCACCGAGCGCTTGGCAGAAGGCAGAGGTCTTCAAAGGAGGAGAAGAGGAAATCCTGAGGACAGCCATAACCACTCCATCAAGCAAACTCTCCACCATGAGGTTTTTGTAAACAGCACTAAGCAAAACTGCTCAGTACCTATTGGAAAGAAAAAGGTAATCCTGATACTAGCAGTGCTGGCCTTCCCTTTGCATGAATTTGCTCTCCACAGCGCACAACAAGAAGGGCTGCCCTGGCCTGGCCCATGCTGAGGTCTATGCAACCTGATGCACAGACCAGCTCATCTCTGACATCCTCGGTGCAAACTGAAGACTGAAGTCACCCTGTGGAACAACAGTCTGACCCAGCAGTGGTGGGACAACACAGTATTAAAGTCCAGCACTGGGGCTTAAAGCCGGTTGTGGTGACACTGCTGGCCGGGAAGGGAAGGGAAGGGAAGGGAAGGATAAATCAATAGCGATAGTACTAAGGAAGCTTTCAGGTCTTATTTGAGCCTACAATAATAGATGACTAATCTTTTTTTTAGATTTTTCAACTTCTAAATCACCCTTATGTATTTTTAAACCTATTTTTCTGCACTACCTGGTGTTACTAAATAAACCATGCAGAACGGAACAGCACTCCCACTTCAGCTGATATTAGAGGATAAGAATGGGCTGTCCTTGACCTGGCTATGCAAAAAGCTTGAATTACTCGCATTATTGTCTCATTTCCAAGGTTGCAGTCACAGTCCATAGTTGTCTACAGTGCCATGAGGCAGTGCTTTAGATTTTTTAAGACCAGAATGAAAGACACATAAGTCAAGCATTTCCTTCCAATATACCTCCACATGCTGCTCTGTATGCAAGCTTTGTATACAACTTGCATGCTGCACAGTAGCAGCTGAAAGGCCCCTTTCTAGTCAGAGGAAGTGTCTGCCACTGCAAAAAGACATTTGCAATGTTTCAGCTCCATAAATGCAGATGCAGAGCCACTGACATCCAGGGACAAAAGCCAGTGCTGCCTTTTTTCCACACAGACATTTCACACCCGACCCTGTCGTCACATGTGCTGTCAGTTTGTTATTTCCCTGCTAGGACATGGACTCAAACCTTTTACAATTCCTGAAGACACTTACAACTGGTTTCGTGCTTCCTATCATAATAGCTCAAACCCAGATTTTTCTTATTGCCTTCTCCAGCTCTTCACAGCCTCCTGCTTCTCACTACAACTTACGTGCTGTGTCCACTGGCATTTCAAGTTTCTAGCCCAGCTCTGCAGGCTGGGAGCCTGCTCCCTTATGTATCACGGGGAAGAGTTTTCACCTCCCCAGCTGCCGGAGCAGTCACATTCGGACACACCGGGTGAGGTCTCTCTGTCTGTGCCGTGCCACCACCATTGCAGAGGCACAGCCAGCTCATCAGCCTTCTAAAATCCTCCAGAGCCTCCCTTTGTCCTCTTCACATCAGACCTCATCACTCCTGGTATCATCAAAATTTGTGGCTGTTTGCTGCATAACACCTCGCCAGCTGAAAACAATCCAGGCAAAATGACCGAGCAGCAGCAGTAGCCTGCACGGACAGGATCTCCCGTTCCCAGAAGGCTCCTACTTCAGCCCTGCAGGCACAGCGCAGCAGGGGTGAAAATCAGTATTGTCCAGCTTGCCTTCCCCGTTGAAGGAAGTGCTTTATTTTTCTGTCTTTGTGCTTTTGTTCCGTACATTCCTGTAGTTTCTGCCTTTCCCACGCTGCCCCTTTCCCCCTGCAGCGATCAGTATGCTCGGCGAGGTCTCTGCTTATTGCTCTGCGTTCCCTAGAGCTATAGCTCGTCCATCTCCTTCTTCAGGGTAAGAGAATAAGCAGCTACAGAAAGTTACTGTTTTAAAACCAGCCTTTCACTTGTTAACCTACTGCTAACTTCGTGCAGCGTTAACGATGTCCCTTCTGGCAAGACAGTGTGGCTCGCACACTTCTCCAAGTTCAAATGAATAATTATCTAAAAGTAGTAAGATGGCTGCTTGCTCTGCTACAAAGCTGTTTTTTATTAAGAGTAGCTGGGAGCCAGCAGCTGGGCCTGTCTCACACATTTTGTTCCATTTGCAAATGTCTGGTAAGAGATACAACCTGCTGCAGTGCCCGTCTCTTTTCCAGAGATGGAGTGGTGGCATGGCCCGGTGGCATTGCCAGTGGCAGCTTCAGAGGCTGCTTAAGAAATGGCAGCACCTCGGTATCACAGAGGTCTGCCTTGCTCCTGCGTTCTGGATTTCCCACCGTACAGGTCATGGAGGGAGCACAGATACTGAACAAACACTCAGGTCTGGGTGGGAACTTCCTTTACACAGAAATTTAGTCGCTTTGTTGAGACCTAATGGGGAACTTCTTGAAGTTTGAGTGTTATTTTAGATCCAAACTGCTATGTAAGGCTTTATCAAGAACTCAGTTAATATTATCCAAAAAGCTGAAGAGAAACAAAACACAAAGCCCCCCGCCGCAGCTGCCGGCAGGGACCGGGATGGGTGGTGGGGCGGGCAGCTGCACCGCTCCCGCGGCAACACCCCACCTCGGCGTTTCGCCCCGCGCAGCGGCTCCCGCTGCCCTTTCCATCGAGCCTTGCCCCGCCACGCTCCAGATGGAAAGCCTGGGCCCTCTGCTGCTCTTGCCTTCCCCATGCAGGTGCCTGCAGCTAGCAGCAGGCAACAGCCCTGCCAACCTCTTTCACCCTGGCCCAAAGCAAGTGCTGCCTCATCTAGAAAACTAAAATCACACACCCTTTCCCCACATCTTGCTCTGCTTTCAGGAGGCTACAGCAAACTTTCCCTTGGGAAGACAGATCCCCAGCACTTCCCTTTCTACCTCTTCTTTCCTGTCATCCTATTTCCTATCACTCCACTTTTTCACTGTCCTGGATGCTGCAGCATTCCCCACGTGCAGGCACTCCCCATCTCTGCTGTGCTTCCCCTTTCATCCATTTCACCACTAATACTAAGGTAGGCTTGGCTCTAAAGCTTCCACACCTCTGATCTTCTTGTGGAAGAACTGCTTCATTTAAAAAAAAAAACAACTTCAGAAATAATCCCAGAACGCCAGGACTTTCTCCCCATTTACCAGCCTTAGGTCACCACTAAATTAATAGATAGAACGCGAGACCCATACCCATTCCAGGCAAACTAGCTACTTAGAAACATGTATGAACGAGCTGCAGAGCCATTTTTGTGTAAGCCCTGCACACAGACAAGTCCAGAGACCTTGCTGCTGCAAGAGGAAATCAGCTGGGAATAGTCCGAAAGACAGAGCTATGTCAGAGCAGCTCACCCATCACATAGTTGTTAGAGACATGGATATTCCAGTGGGTGTGTAAATCAGTTAACCAGTAAACGATTTTCCTATAGCTAGACTTAATCGTCACCATCACCAACACAAAAATTAAAACTTATTAACTTTATATTCATGTTTGCCTTAAAATACAGAATACATACTTTCAAAATATTTTCCCTGTTTAGATGATTAATTCTACTTGGAGCTAGAAACAAGACATCTGCCACAATCTGTCTATCTCAGATAGTAAAATACCCAAAGGCAAAAGAGTATTGCATGAACCCTCTGAAGATCAGTGGGTTATTTATGCCGCAAAGATATGATGCCTTATCGCATCTTTATAACAGGTTTTGATGCTGCAGGTCAGGTCTCATTACTTGCATAAAAACCTGTGTTAGGAAACCAAATTATGTAAAGGTTACATTAAAAAAGGTAGCAAAGACATGAAACCCGAACTTTGCTGCTTTTTATGTGCACACATCACAATTTTGGGGCAAGTCATAAGATCTGCTGCAGTGTTTTGGATTTTATACACCATGGCTGCTGCAGAGGGGTGGGTGTGGAAGTGTAGTGGGTCAGTCAGGGCTCAGGGCTTGCTGTCCTGGAGGAACACCACAGCTCTTCTGCTTCTTTCACTCAGGCAGTTTCTGACCTTGGGCCAGCCACTTTGCTGCGTAACTCTCTGATAAAATAGATATGAGGACATTCAGTGTGCTTGAAAGGTGGAAATAGGAGCCAATGGGGAATTTCACACCGACTGGAACGCTGCTTGACTAGGTGCTGTTCAACAACGTGCAGAGGAGGAAGACAAAAGCAGCAGAGAGCTTGGCGTTGTTAAAAATAAATCAGTGACGGCAGGGTCCAGGACGGACTGTCTTCAGCCAAGTTTGCATGTTGGTTACACCTCCTCTAAACTACATTTTCAAAGCGCATGCAGACAGACACACAGACACACACACAGAGACACAGACACACACACGCACACACACACAATGTGTTCTGCAACACGGGCTTGAAAACCTGTTATCAACAAATAATTAGCTCACAGCCTGAGTAAGTATGTCCCAGGGGCTCAGCCTGGCTGTTCTTGCTTCGCTGGCACCTCCCAGGAGCTCTGCTCAGGCACTCGGCACAGGAGAAGTCCTTAAGCTCAACAACCCTGCTGACATTTGCAACAACGACATTTAAGCAGTTAGAGAGTCAGTTTTATTTAACTTTACTAAGCTATTGCTGAGTGCTTGGTGCAGTTACCGTACCTGTGACAAAACCAACATTTTACTCCTTTAACCTTAACTGAACTAATCAAATGGATTTAAATATACTCAGTTACCACTGAGCACAGCTGTTAAAAACCTCTCCAGTAGACTCCACCTCTCTTACTAGTAAGGTGGCTAAGGATAGAGATAGACTCTTATCCTTATCCTAAAGGGAATTTAGCTCTGCTATTCTTTAGCTAAGGGAATTTTGCTGTGATTTAATTAAGCGGTGAAATGCAATGCCTGAGTTTGCGTTGCGGAGGCTGCCAGCCAGAAGCAAGACCCAGCTGCAGGTTGCTGCCAACAGGCACCTGTGGAGAAGCTGTCCTCCCAGCACAAGCAGTGAATAACTGCGAGGCTACATAGATTTCCCTCCCTTTAAGGGAAAAGTTAGCCACTCCTACTTACGTTCTACATTTCGAGTTTTGTTATTAGCCATTTAATTGCAGATCGCATTAAAGAATACCCAGTATTTTAGCTGTCTGCAGTGAGTAGCTCCACTCCACTGACTTCAGATGGTTTTCTCGTAGGGTTGCACCCATGTGCAACTGGTGTTTATCAGCATGCAAGCCCTCTCTCTGCCTGTACAGGACTGAAGAGTCAACACCTGCCTCCGGAGACAGGCAGCGTTACACGTATCAGGAGTGTCCCCCACTTCTTTGGAAAACCAGCTCTCCATTCCCTCTGCAGGGAGGTTTTCCTAAAGTCCTGGGCTGTGTTTCCCTGACTTTCGTTCCTGCAGCACTCTGGGTGGGTTAGGCTGCACAGAGCCTCCTCATCTCTCCTCTCCCATCTTTTTGTCTCCCAGTGACCACCAGAAACCTTAGAAAGAGCTTTGAACTGTTGATACACCCGGAGCGGTTTGTCAACACAGGATTGCTCCACAGCACTTACGCTTTAGGAACTGTATGACAGAAATTTCTTTAAAAAAATGGTTTCTGGAAATATCTTAAGCTGTCAGCATTAATACCTTTGGTTCTTCCTGCAGTATCCACCCCAAACTGGTAGGCTTTACTCAAGGAATAAATTTCGCGACCTGTTACACACCGGCGGACTCTTGGGCCTCACAGTCTCTTTATGAAACCACCAGCACTGGCATGGCCGGAGGAGTCCGTCCGTGCGGATCGGGTTGCAGACGCCTCCGCATCCCGTGTGGGACCAGTGCCATGTGCTGGGCGCTGGGCCACTGCCTAGCTCGTTATTTTCCTGATGGTAGGAGCGCGATATTAGGACAACAAACCGTTTAGGTGCAAGAGTTATTAAGAATAAATAAATAAATAAAAAATAAATTAAAATAAAGTGATAAAATATTCCTCATTGCACCCCAAAAATCAGCTGCACAAATCGTGGCTGGTGGTGGCAAGCACGTACCACAAGTTTTTCCTTTTTTGGGGAAGAAGAGACTGGAGAGGGAGGGACAAGCAGGAAGGAAGAAAGGGCCGTAAAAAGGAACAAATTCAATCCGCCTTTATGATCCTTGACCATTTTCTCCCTGACAAGCAAATCAGCAGAGCATTTAAAATTGATATGTGACAAAGAGTCATCCAGAGAGGGAGGAGCAGACGGAGATGCCACTTGAGCTGGCACGCCAGAGGATCTTTAAATAGAAAGGCTTTCAGGGAGCTCAGGGCAGGCGTTTACTGCATAAAACTTAATTACACCATACCAGTCTGAAACTACCTCAATAACAGCCCCCCACGCCCACCCCTCCCAATTCCCCTTTTTATCCGTGGCAATAGGGGAAGGGAAGGGAAGGGGAAAGGCACTAAAAGCAACACCTGTCTCCAATCCCTGCATCCCCCTGGGATGGTGCTGAGGGACGGAGCTGCCGGCTCCCCCCACTCCCCAGGGCTTCGAGTCCCTGGGGGGCAGTACCTGTTAGTCAGCTCCTCCGCTTCCTCTGGGTCCACAGCCTCCTCCTCCTCCTCCTCTTCTTCTTCCTCCTCCTCCTCCTCTTCTTCCTCTTCTTCTTCATCCTCTACGAAGGATGAGGTCTCAGACGCCCTGTCGCACTCGGCACCACGGTACCCCTCCATGCCCTTCCAAGCTCAGGCCCTCGCCGGTGATTTTTACCTCCGACCCTGTCCTCCCCAGGGTTGCCTGAAGCAACTGTCATCCCCAGCAGCTCTCGCTCCTCCTGACTCAGGGCAATCTTTAAATAGAAGGCGGCGAAGTTACAGCACCCGGTAGCTGCCGGTCCCACCCTGGGTCCTAGCACCAACCGGGTGCCAGGACACGTGGCAAAGCCCGATGGCCATGGATCCCGCTGCTCGCCCCCGCGGCTGCCGACCAGGTGTTCTTAACAGCAGAGACAGGGCAGCCAGGCAGCGGCAGCAGGAAGGAGCTGGAGCCCCTGCAGACCTTCCCAGGCACCTCTCACCATTTGGGGTGGATGGCAGAGATGAAGAGATGAGAGTTTTCTTGTGGCCCCCAAAGAAAGGTGCGTTTAGCCCGTTCAAAAGCAAGTTCCGCCCCTGCGCATAACGGGGCACCCAGAGTGCCTCAAATTCGAGCTGGAGAGGTCAAATACAAAAACGAGTGGACAAGCCTAGGACACGCGCTTTTAATAATTAACACTGTGCTGCAAGAGGTAACAGGTGCATTGTAGTTTTAACAACACACAGGGAATATATTTGAACCTCCAACTCTGTCGATCTGTTAATTCACAGGACATTTCAAGCTTCCTCTTCCAGTGGACTGGAACCAATTTTAATGCAAAGCAAAGACAAACTTTGGTACCAGGTAGGGTTTAGGTTAAGCTACTTTTACCCTTTATTATTCTGCATCTCACACAAAACATAGAGCTCTTCATAGACAAAATGGAAGTATTACCAACCGGCACTAGCCTAGGTAATGACTGTTTCTAAATTACTTTTTAGGAGAGGGGGAGAAGCACCAAAACTCTGATTCTAAATAAAAAATTCCAAGTTATTTCAGGTATAAAACATTGTATACACAGGATAACTCTAATCTCATTTTTTCTTTTGCTTTTCCTTTTTTATTTTTGTTCTTCAAATAAATAGCTGGTTATAATTCAATCGGCAAACTCCTCCTTGTGTTGTAAGTACAGAAACACCCAAGGAGGTATTTTTGAGTATGAGCTTTCTCTGCAATGCTAAATTAAATTCTAGTGACAGATTCACTTGAAGTAAAATATTTCCTGAACAGTACCTACAGGTAAAACCTGTCTGCTCTCTTGACCTACCCACTGAGGTACACAATTTACAAGGTCAGAACATACTTTCTCGAAGAAGTGTACTTAAACCAGATACTACCTTAAACTCCAGATATCATCATGAGCACAGAGACAGCGTACACAGCACAATGAAACTTAAGGTAGAGGGCTTCATATTCTTTACACATTAAGGGCAAGAGCATTACAATCTTCTAGAAATGCTTATATACGAAGCACACATATATTACACAAGTTTCAATTCAGTCTTCAGCATAGCAAGAGGAAGGTGAGTACTCTTTTACCAGAACCCCTTCAAATTATTTCCAGACCTAGTGCTCTCTCTTCTGTACTTCTCACAACTTAAATTGACCTGTAAGTTGACCAAAATAGCACATGCTTTTCCTACAAGCATCATACTCTGTAAAATCAATGAGTGAAAGACGTATATCGAAACACACAAGGATTAGAGAAAACAAGACAAACATAACAAAAAAACCCCCACAAAATACATGAGATAACCCAAAACAAGTAGAGTCCATTAAAACAAGAGTGACGTTCTCCGACGGCCTTAAATTTAACATCAAATATACTGTGAATTGAGTCCAGTGACCCAAGTTCAAGTAAAGCATTGGTTTCAAATGAGCATTTGGGACAGTATTCACAAACACTAACTTCAGGTTATCAACAAATTGTTTTACATCCTTTTATCGTGGCTGCCCATTTCTCCCAAGTAACCATATTACCCTTCAACTTGAGTCTTAAAATTGCTTTATATTTAATTCTTTGTAAAGGATTTCTTAAAAGTAACCTCTCATACTGTCAGAGCACCTTAAGGTACAGAGAGTACACTTACACAATCACATTTTAGGAGAAGCGAGAGCAAGAGAGCTAGAAGAGAAACTGCAAGTTTCACAGTACACAGCCTACGCCAGTTCTGGTACTACTGTTACTGAATGGGGAGCTCTTTGTAACTTTTGATCGTTCCGAACACCTCCCAGCCTGTTCATTAAAAGCACTGCTAGAAGACTAAAGGGAGTTCCTAAAATCCTAGATGAGCCACTAGTAGTTTCTGACATTATATAAGGTGAGAAATGACAGGCAAATCCAATGCTGAACTGAGTACTCAAAACTAGTCCTAAAATAACAAATAGAACTGAATTAAAGTGTTTTTATTTCGAGGCAGTAAGAAGCCTCAGAGAAGCTGGTGTCTTGCACACATGCTGAAACTTTGGCCAGCGATGAAAAACACCTTTCAACAAAGATGTCTCAGAAAAATTTCCTGCTAGGGTGTATGCTAAGGCATAGGTGTGTGAAGGTTTTTATTTTGAAGTTCAGGAGAAGGAAAACTTCAGACTAAAACTAAGATTTATGATAGCCATTAACGGATTTCTCGCTCTAGATGCCTGCCCAGAGTAGAAGAAAATCCAGGTCATTAAACCTCTAGCAACTTCAGACTATGCAGAACTGAATACGAAGTTAAAGGTCAGCTCCTACACTCACTCTCCCAAACCATTTATTTTGTGGTATTTAATCTGAAGTTTTCTGACAAAAGTTGCAGCCCACCATTTAATAAATACTATGTTCCCTCATAGTCATTCCGGTTATCCGGCACTTCCATGGAAAGCGGTGCTGCTCGTTTGCTTTGACAGGAGAATAGTAGCACGTCTGGTAAAATCTGTTCTGCAAATCTTTCAGATTATTTTTTAGTACGTGAGAGCACTGCTGACTTCCGTGCTCTTGCCAGATAACCCACTAACTTCTTTTGCTATACGCGAAACCAAGTTACACCACCTTGCACCTTGCTTAGGTAACACAGTAAATTACTGGCGAGTTTTCCGTTGCTAGAAAGGATGCAACAAACAGGCTTGTCTCCAAGCAGCTGGGGAAAACTACCATCTAGACTTTGTATTTCTGATTATAAATGTAGCTTATCAGAAGTACATAAACTTGAGAAAAAAAACCCTCAAAAGGATTTTTTTGAAAGACACAGGCAATTGCAGTTGCAGTTCTTGGCCTTGTATTAAAAAGATCATTGACTTGGTGTGTCAATTCAACCTGAAGTTGCATGGTGGTACCACCATTTTTTTACCTATTTTAAAACAGTTAGAAAGGAGCAGTTTCAAAAATAAAGCAGTAATTCAAGGTGTGATATGTTGATACCTTAGGTGATGCAATGCAAACTCACAAGAGATAGACATACATGAAGTTTTGTGCCTCATGTCCAGCTCACTTGAAATACATTTTTGCCAAGTTTCAACACGTATGTCCCTTCTTAGTCATCCTACTTTGGGAAAGTTTTAGATTTTCTAGACAAAGAGATAGCCAGCACCTTTTGAAAAAAAGATCAGCCATTCCCTCTCCCCAAAATCCATCTAAGGCTTGTAGAGCATCTTTGAATCCCGACATCATCCTGCACTAAAAACTTGTGCTTCCATTTTACATAAACGGAAAGGTCAAAGTGAAAGTTTCACTGAGACCAAGTCTACCATCTTATGAAGAGGAAGGGCAGTGAGGGGGAACATACGCAAGGAGGGAGAACATTTTAGTGGATTGCTAGAGTCGGATTAAAACTGAAAGACTGTTTAAATTGCAGAACAAAGGTGTTTTAAGAAGCAAGCCAAAATCTTACATGGACTAGATCATGATGAAGGGTGTAGTAACTAACCTCACAGTACGCAAATAATTTACAGTTTCTAGAACCACTAAATTGTGAAAACTGAAATAAATTAGAACTTAAAAATTTGCACAAGAAGAGACAATGCTTGTTATTTTACACACCTATAAGGGTTTTCACAACCTTGTTAGAGATGGCCATAGATGAAACTTCTACCTGTACACAGATGCAGCACTGAAGAGCCATATAGAAGTTTATGATTTACAACAGAAGCGTTACCTTTACAGGGCATTTCCTTTTCTACTTAATTATAGGAAACTTTTAAAATATACAGTACGACATAACCCAAACTGGACAAATAAGCTGTATCTTCCATGTACAAACTTTATTTCACCATACAAAACTTTAAAAAATCAAAACATGAATTTGACACAAATGGTAAGAATAATTTTAACAATGCATTGGTCTTCAAAAACAAGTATATGAGAGACACAAATTGTGCTACAGCAGGTCTAAAAGAAGGTTCAAAATATTATTTTGGAAATGCTAAAATTTTAAAGATTACTTATTTAAATTCAATTTACAGCAGCTGACCAATTTACAAATATTACATAAACCAGAAGCCCAGCTTACTGTAGCAGTGGTAGGGTCGTGTGGTGTTTGGTTTTTGTGTTTTTTTTTTTTTCCCCCCCAACACAGACGTCACTACTACTTCAACTATTTAAAAGGAAGCACTAAAAAGTATCTTGCCTACTCTGTGTGAATATGAAGCATTTATGCATAATGATTTGTCCTTTTTTATTTTAACTTCTTTGTAGTACAACTGTTGCTTGGAAATTCCAGTTTAGATTACAGTTCTTGATATCCAGAACACTACCAACCATAATCTAGCTTAATTTTCATAAACTGTTGTTTGTTGTTCCATATAAAAGGGAAATAAAACTGCAAACTGCCAAGTTGAGCAAAAGCGCTTACTGCAATTAAAAGCAGATGTAATGCACGGGCTGTCTTTTCATCAAGAAGTGAGTACTGTGTGTAATGCCTTAAGGACATTGTCAAACTTTTTTAGCTCTGAATCTTTATTTCATGGTTTAATGTGTCAGAATTAATGATTGCTCAGATTATAGGAAACACAAGTCAGTATATTCCCATACTTTACTTACAATGGATTTTTTCTTGTGGTTTGCTGTTTGAATTTCTTCTAGAAGTCAACACCACAAGCATTTTCAGAAAACATATCTTTGAATGAACAGCTGTATTAACAAATGTCGGTAGCAAAACGTGCAATCTTTCCTATAAACA